GATATGCTGTTTTAGGAAGTACCTTTGTGGGTAAAAGATAGGAACTATATAATACAGCTTTATTGAGTATATCAGACTATGCTGGTGGACTATTTGTCACATTTTCTACAGATAAAAAGACCTTGTTGGACAATGGATGCATAGCCTGCTGTTCACATGTATCAGTGAGACATCAACCTGGCCATAGTCTCCCAAACCACTGGAGAAGACATCAGTACCCGGGTAGGTCAATAAAATACAGTCTTCCTTTATTAAATCACATATATACAGCTTCATACATGTGATTTAATAAAGGAAGACCGCATTTTGTTAACCTATCCATGAAACCCTCATAGTGTGAGCACTGGGTCTGGAGCGTTGAATTGAGAAGGTGGTGGCACTGTTACAGCTGTTTCCATAGTCACCCAAGCTTTTGTGTCTTTTATATATGACCATCTGCAAAGGTTTTGGTAAGCATTTACCAGTTTTCTTGATTCCATCCTTCGGCTGTGTGTTCGGAGATCATACAGAATAAAAACTGTGTTTTGCTCCAGGTCTCCATCACAAGTTCCAGTGACTCTCACTGAGAGGAGTGCTGGCATGGAGAGAGCCCGTCCAGAGTTTTTATAAAAAAAAATTGCTGGTCCATGTAGGGCATATACAGTGAAGGAAATAAGTATTTGATCCCCTGCTGATTTGGAATGTCCGCCCCTCACAAAGAAATGATTGGTCTAAAAATCGAATGTTCGGTGTATTGTAACACTGAGAGAATAAAAACAAAAAATTCAGCAGAAATGCATGTCTAAAAATGATGCACTGATTTGCATGTTCATGAGGGAAATAAGTATTTGATCCCCTTCACAAACCATGACTTAGCACTTGGTGGCAAATCCCTTGTTGGCAATCACAGAGGTCAGACGTTTCCTGTAGTTGGCCACCAGGTTCGCACATCTCAGGAGGGATTTTGGCCCACTCCTCTTGGCAGATCCTCTCCAAGTCATTAAGGATTGGTGGCTGACGTTTGGCAACTCGAAAATCTCAGCTCCCTCCACAGATTTTCAACTGGATTAAGGTCAGGGAGACTGGCTCGTTCATATGTCTTTTTTGAACTGTGCACTTGTTGATCTGAAGCAGTTCTGGACACATCAACTTCAGGTTTATAGTTCTAATGTACCTTTTTTCTTATGTTCTTGATTAAGACTCAGCAGGAATGGGTCATGATGTATAAATGCCCATAGCTACATCAATTCCTCACCTCGAATACGACTAATCCCTGAAGGCGGGGCGAAACACGTTGGGGCGAAGCCTGGATGGAGCCATGTTGAAGCGACTTCTCATTTGTCCGATACCTGGGCTTTCTCTGGTGTGCAGCAGTTTGGATCCCTGTTTGCCTTCTGTATGTCTCGGGGATGTTAACCTAGCTCTAACTGCATGGTATTTAATGCGATATAGTGTTGGCTGCACATTATTGCTTTGGATCAGCTTTTTGACAGTGACAACGTCGCAACATGCCTGTGCAACGTGTGCGGACATCAACTGTAATCTCAGTTAGGGGGCAAGTGCAAGTGACAGGGTGACAATGCAGGAGTACAAGTGGTTGACAGCTGTCACCCTATCACAGGAAGTGCCTGAGATAGGACCTTTATGGCAGAATCACCAGTTAAAGTAATGAATATTTCTGCAGTCATTACCCCCTAATAGTTCTGAGTTACACTTTTTTTTCACCTTAATGCAGAGAATGCATTAACATAAAAAAACCTTCATCCTTTGGAACCACTTTAAAGGTTATATGAGATTTTACTGACTGGATTTAGATCCAATTTAAATTCAAAATCTTTCTGGGAATGCCAGATGATACTTAAAAAAAAAAAAAAAAAAAAATGGAAATTGAATTGCATTCCACTCTCCCTTCAAAGTGTAAGTTTAGTATCACATTCTTCAATTGCAATAGAAATCAATAGATTTCTCAATCCACGCATAAACAGCATAGATGTAGGAATCTGCAGTGCCGGCTAGTGCATTCTGACAGCCGCCGACACAATTTCTTTTCACCCGACAAATTGAATTTTTCAATCAGTCTGTTGAGCCGGGTGCTGCTGACGGGGCCACCCACATGGCTCCGATTTTTTCAGATTTGAGACTGGCAGAAATTCGAGTCATGTTTGGCTAGCCTAAGTAAATCCAAACAAGGAACTTCTTATTTTCTCACTTTTGATCTCTACACAGGATTTGATATGCATCTGAATTCCTTCAGAGTGGCTTTTGTATTCATATGGTCTTCAATGGAGAGAAAAGCAAACAAATGCCTGTGTATACAAGCCCTGGGTTTACCCAAGAGATCTGTCCTTGTGATATTCACCATTAATGCAAAAGTCTGACAGGTTAGGTTGGCCATCCCTTGTTGGGGATCACAGTGGTCAGAGGTTTCCTTTAGTTGGCCACCAGGTTTGCACACATCTCAGGAGGGATTTTGGCCCACTCCTCTTGGCAGATCCTCTTCTAGTCATTAAGGTTTGGTGGCTGACGTTTGAAAATCTGTGGAGGGAGCTGAAAGTTCGAGTTGCCAATCGGATTAAGGTCTGGAGACTGGCCACTCCAGGACCTTAATGTGCTTCTTGAGCCACTCCTTTGTTGCCTTGGCCATGTGTTTTGGGTCATTGTCATGCTGGAACACCCATCCACGACCCATTTTCAATGCCCTGGCTGAGAGAAGAAGGTTCTCACCCAAGATTTGACGGGGATCAAATACTTATTTCCTTCACTGTATAAATGAGTAATATAAAATATGTGCTGTACTTAAAACAGGAGTAACAATGTAACCTCAATTACAACATACATTTACATGAGGCAGCCATATCTGCTCATTGCATTTTGCAGGCTCTGCTTCCTGCTGGAAGTACTGGACGGTGACTGTGCTTTACTGTTCCTATCACTAAGACCATAGAGGAGTTAGGTTCTTTATGTTCAACCAGCAGGTTGAACAAAAAACAAAAAAATGGGGGACCCTCCCCGCAGAGATACTGTATTCTGACAGCAGGGAGACTTCCCTGCTAGACTTGTGTGTTTCCTTATAACACGTTTTTTGGACAAAAATTTCATTTTCGGAGATTCAGATTTATACTGGTCTCCGAAAGGACATAGTACTGAATGTTAATGAATCTTAAAAAAATTTATAACAAAATTAACTTCTGCATTTGTATCATTCGGATGACGTCACATGATGTGATAGCAGTTTGGGCCCATGGGAAAATAATTTTTTAATTTGTTTAATAATTTGGATAATAAATGGATCAGAATTTCATTCCAGTCATTAATTCGGATGCACATGACGCCAGTGAATGTCATTCAATCAGCTCAACCCATTTCTCTTGGTAGCTTGGACTAGCGTCTAAAAATATCAAATCTTTCCAATTCGAATCCATCTGATTCTATAATATATAGCAATCTTAAGGAAAAACTGCAAACTTTTTCAAATCCACCCGAGCCAACAAATGTATGAAACAAATGCCGATCCACAAAATTCACCCATCCAGACAGTTGATGTGGATGGGGGACCCTCCCCGCAGAGCTACTGTATTCTGACAGCAGGGAGACTTCCCTGCTAGACTTGTGTGTTTCGTTATATGTTTTTCAGACAAAAATTTCATTTTCGGAGATTCAGATTTATACGAGTCTCCAAAAGGACATAATACAGAATGTCAATGAATCTGAAAAAAATTTATAATGAAATTAACTTGTGCATTTGTATCATTCGGATGACGTCACATGGGAAAATAATTACGATTTTCGAATTTGTTTAATAATTTGGATAATAAATGGATCAGAATTTCATTCCAGTCATTCATTCGGATGCACGTGATGCCAGTCAATGTCGTCCAAGTAGCTCAACCCATTTCTCTTGGCAGGTTGGACTAGCGTCTGAAAACATCAAATCTTTCCAATTCAAATCCATCTGATTCCAGAATACATACCAATCTTAACCCCTTGGCGCCGGCGCCTCCCGACCCTTTAAGGGTTTGAGAAGCCGGAAGGCGGGGCAGGGTTTTAGGGTCATGTGACCACCGTGATTCGCCATCATGATTGGGAAAGGTCCCAATTGAAAGAGGAGTTCAGGACCTTTCCGTGAGTACTGGACATGTGTGGTGGGAGCCCGCAGGGTGCGCACTCTCAGCACATATGTTTTTTCTTAATTGCACACAAATGTGCGGCCGTTCAGCGTCTAGGCCCAGACGCCAGGAGGCCACACATTTGTGTGCGGCTGGCGTGAAGAGGTTAATGGAAAAACTGCAAACGTTTACAAATCCACCTGAGCTAACAAATGTATGAAACAAATGCCGATCCACAAAAAAATTCTCCCATCCAGACACTTGATGTGGATGAGAGATCCTCCCCGCAGAGCCACTGTATTCTGACAGCAGGGAGACTTCCCTGCTAGACTTGTGTGTTTCGTTGTGACACGCTTTTCAGACACAAATTTCATTTTCGGAGGTTCAGATGTATACGAGTCTCCAAAAGGACATAGTACCGAATGTCAATGAATCTGAAAAAAATTTATAAACAACTTAACTTGTGCATTTGTACCATTCGGATGACGTCACATGATGTGATAGCAGTTTGGGCCCATGGGAAAATGATTACGATTTTCGAATTGGTTTAATAATTTGGATAATAAATGGATCTAAATTTCATTCCAATCATTCATTCGGATGCAAGTGACGCCAGTCAATGTCATCCAATCAGCTCAACCCATTTCTCTTGGGAGGTTGGACTAGCGTCTGAAAATATCAAATCTTTCCAATTCAAATCCATCTGATTCCATAATATAGAGAATATATAGCAATCTTAAGGAAAAACTGCAAATGTTTTCAAATCCACCCGAGCCAACAAATGTACGAAACAAATGCCAAAGATACGAAGCGGATTCCAAAAACAAAGAATGTAATGAAACAAAATTCTTCAATGAACGAATGCATCAGAAACTAAACTAAAATTTCCGGCGTGCACAGGGGCGGACAGACAACTCATGGGGCCCCCGGGCAATAGGGGATCATGGGGCCCCTGTGTCCTTGCCCAAACTCAAAAAAGCCTATGAAAAAGGTACCAGGGGCATCTCATGGAGCCCCCTACTGACCCCGGGCCCTCGGGCAGTGCCAGAGTTTCCAAATGGTCAGTCCGCCGCTGGACGTGCACATCTATTTCCCGCCATCAGAATATACTGATCAGCATTGCTGCCTATAGCCTGCAGCGCTCAGCAAGCAGAGAAAATCTGGCAGGTTGGTTCTCCAAAATTCGACTGGTAGATCAACTTCTGTACAACCACAGTGCCCATACATGGATTGAAGTCTCATTTAGTCGTAAATGGCAATTACCATATCAAAAAATGTTAAATTACATTTCTCTCAACTGCCAACTCTTCCCACTTCCGGTACAGCAATTCCAACCCTTAGGTTTTAAGCTCTGGCACACAGGACAATGTAAACATTTAGGGTCCTGGCCCTTTGCCCATCCTTTATTCACTGTACATTCGGACTGACCTGAATTTCAATCTTCTCCGAGTTTTTGGGCAGGTGGGCAGCGATGAACCAGTCCCCAGGGGAGGGGTTGGTGACATTCAAGTAGATGCTACTTTGCAGGGCGTTCTGGAAGCTCAACGTCCGGTTATAGGAGAACGGCACTGATGTGTTGACCGCAAAGCTGTAGCCCAAAGGGTTAATCACCGGTGGAGCCCCATATCGGAAATGCCTGGGAGATAGAATTAAATTACTCATGGCGTCCGCTGAACAAACACCAAAAGGATTACAAAACAGCGAAACTTACGTCGTGATCTCCACATTCTCACACCCATCTCCTTTTCCCCGAGTGGCCACCAGGGTCCACCTGAGCAGGACCGTGTCGGAGGGAACTTGGAATCGGAACAGCCGTACATTGCCATACCAATTGTAGAAAGACAATCGCTGAGGACCTTGGGAGTAAATCTCGGAAACATATGACAGATCTGCAAACAAACAAAAAAACACAACTCATTTACAGGCTTCTCTCAAAAAGGTAAAAATAATGGCAGTACACAAAAGTGATTTACAACAGTGAGGGCTTTTTCACACCATGTGAGTTCAGCTAAGATTTTCGGCACAACATCGCACATGTATACACCATACACAAGGCACATGGAAAAGAGTTGTTTTCTACAATTCTGTACGAACCATACATGAATAATGGGTGTGCAGAAAAATGCACCTGGACAGGGGGTGTGTACAAGTCCCTAAATGTAGACTCCACTTACATTTCAGGTTAGTGTGGTTGCTGACAACTTATGAATGCTAATACCTCTCATATAATTCAATCAGAGCCTCCAGATACAGATCTCACCCCCCCCCCAGTGTACATCTCCCCCTTGGATAAATCTCCTTTCCCCCACAGTAAAGCCCTTACCCAGTACAGCTCTCCCTCCAGTAGGGATCTCCACCCCAGGATAAATGTCCTTTCATGCAGTACCAACCTTAACCAGTGCAGCTCTCCCCCAGTACAGATCTCTCCCCCGGGTAAACCTCACTCCCCAATTACATACATTACCAAGCACAGCTTCCCCCCAGTAGAAATCCCCCCCCCAGGGTAAATCTCCTTCCCTCCCAGTAGAGATCTATCTCCTCTTAGTACAGATCTACCTCTACCCCCCAGGGTAAATGTCCTTTCCCCCAGTACCGACCGTAACCAGTGCAGCTCTCCCCCAGTCCCACAGCACAGATCTCTCCCCCGGGTAAACCTCCTTCCCCGATTACATACATTACCAAGCACAGCTCCCCCCACCATAGAAATCTCCCCCCCGCCTCCCGCCCCCCCCACGGGGTAAATCTCCTTCCCTCCTAGTACAGATCTATCTCCTCTTAGTACAGATCTACCTCTACCCCCAGGGTAAATGTCCTTTCCCCCAGTACCAACCTTAACCAGTGCAGCTCTCCCCCAGTATAGATCTCTCCCCCGGATAAACCTCCTTCCACAATTACATACATTACCCAGTACAGTCCCCCCACCCAGTAGAAATCTCCCCCCCCCCCACAGGGTAAATCTCCTTCCCCCCCCCAGTACAGAGCTATTCCCTTTTAGTACAGATCTACCTCTACCCCCAGGGTAAATTTCCTTTCCCCATTACAGACCTTACCCAGTACAGCTCTTCTCCCTCCAAGGTAAAATTACCTTTCCACCAGTACAGACCTCTCCCTCCTTAGTACAGATCTCCCTCCACCCCCCAGGTAAATCTCCTTTCCCCTGTACACACTTTAACCCACTACAGCTCTCACCCAAGTACAGATATCTGCTTTGGGTAAATCCCCCCCCCCCCCCCCAGTATAGACCCTACTGAGTACAGCTCTCCCCCTATTCCAGATCATTTTCACCAGGGTAAATCTCCTTCTCCAGAACAGATCTCCCCCCCAGGATAGATCTCCTTCCCCGTAGTACAGCTCCCCACAGATCTACTTCTCCCACTTCCCCAGTACAACCCCCCCCAAAAAAAAAAAAATCCATTGACTGGACATAGCAGTCCATAGCGAGTCCTTCCTCCAGTGTGTTACGTGACCTAAGCAGAGCTGGAGCCTTCAAGGAGAGAATTCCTCTCCCAACCGCTTGGCTCTCTCCCAGAACTGCCTGTCTCTGAGGTCTGACAGGAGGCAGCAGGGGCTGCAGTGCTTCCTGTGGCCAGCGGCTTAACCACAGATGCCCTGGGGGTGCTTGGACCCCCCTATCCCCACCTTATCTACGCCCCTGATTTCAATGAAAATATATTACCACTGCAATCCCTCGGTTTGTTAATCCACATTGATGTTGTTTGTGTTGATATTCACCAAAAAGAACAATAACAATAATAAAATATAAGAAGGCAGCCCAGTGACAGTACAACTCCTTTGTTATGGCTTTTTGTGAGGGAGAGGAAACAGATTACTGTGGGGAACCATCAAAGATTCCAATACATACAGTATATGGTTGATTCAGCTCAACAGTGCGCACAGAAAACTAGTATCTGTTTAGTACGTAGAAGGCTTTAAAATATTTGAACGTAAAAAGACGCCCCTCATGTCAACAAAAATCTTCACATAATGTACATTTAACATATTTTATGCCTCCCTTTTGTACAGAACCAGAAGCCCTCTGCTTACAGCTGCCATCTTGAATGTGATGTCCGCAGCCCTAACAGACTCAGACCTGTCATTCCGTTGACATTCTACAGTATTTATTCTCCTTCACGCCTCTCCCCCAAAAGCTACATAAAAGGTTAGCTAGGAAGGTAGGGGGAGGGGAAGAGTAGCTGGGCCAGCACAGACAGCAGCTACACATTCCCAGAAGAGGAAAGTTTTATGATGTGCAAGGAGGAGAGATGGGGCTGTGATAGGGAATCGACTTCTCTAACAGTCAAACAGTCTAACAGTCAAATTTTCTGTACTTTTACCTGCAATTGTGTAAGTAGTATCACTTTAACCCCTCGCCCTCCATAGGATTTTTCTAGGATTTACCCCCTTTCCTGACCAGGCCATTTTTTGCGATATGGCGCTGCGTTACTTTAACTGACAATTGTGCGGTCATGCAACGCTGCGCCCAAGTGAAATTTATGTCCTTTTTCCCAACAATTAGAGCTTTCTTCCAGTGATATTTGATCACCTGTGCAGTTTTAATTTTTTATGCACTATAAAAACAAAAAAAAGACCAACAATTTTGAGGAAAAAAAAAATACAATATTTTTAACTTTTCGCTATTAAACATGTCCAGTGAAAAAATTTTAAAAATCAAATTTCATCATAAATTTAGGCCAAAATGTATTCTGCTCCATGTCTTTGCTAAAAAAAAAAAATCCCAATACGTGTAAATTAATTGGTTTAAGTGAAAGTTATAGCGTCTACAAATGGCGGTATAGATACTGGCATCTTTTATTTATTTATTTTACTAGTAATGGCGGCAATCAGCGACTTTTAGCAGGAGTGCGGCAGGCATTCTGACACAGCGGAGGTGGGGGGGGGTGGGGGGGGGGGGGGGGGGGGGGGGGCGGGAGGGGGGGGGGGGGGGGGGGGAACTGACTGACTTGGGTGTCACTAACTTCCCCATTGACAACCAATACAGTGATCAGTAATAATAAGCACTGACACTGTACTAACGGCACTAGGCAGGAATTGGTTAACATCTGGGACAATCAAAGGGTTAACCGTGTGCTGTGTGTATCCTTCACTATGCAGAGCCATACAAAGCAGTGTGCAGGAGCTGACAGGGGAGGGATCTGTGTTGCTTATACACAGGTCTCTCCGTCGGTAATACTCAGCGATCACCGGGTGCTGGCGAGTGATCACAGGGCGGGAGCCGGTGATTGACAGCCGAGGCCACAAATGGCGGCGCGGATAGGGCAATCACCGACTTAAAGCAGGACTGAGGTGGGCATTCTGACACTGGGGGGAACTGACTTGGTGTCACCAACATCCCCATTGACACCAATACAGTGATCAGTAATAATAATAATAATCACTGACACTGTACTAATGGCCCTGGACAGGAAGGGGTTAACATCTGCGACGATCAAAGGGTTAACTATGTGCTGTTTCACATTATGTGCTGTGTGTGCCCTTCACTGTAAGCACACCGTTTTGTATGGCTCTGCTATGCAGGAGCTGACAGGGGAGAGATCTGTGTTTATCTCCCCCGTCGGTAATACTCAGCGATTACCGAGTGCCGGCGACTAATCACCGGCCGGGACCTGGTGATTGACAGCCGAGGTTGCGAATGGCGGTGAGAGTAGAGCACACGTGTGCCCCCTACCTGGGAAGGCAAAATCATGTATATATACACGTAATTTTGCACACCCCTGCCGCCCTGTAGCAGTATATCTGCTATAGGGTGGAGGGGAAGCGGTTAACACTACATAAACATATGAAAAAAATCTTCCATTTGGGCTGTGTAACACGAAAGGGAACGGCCAAAAATGGATCAAAATTTGGCCTGTCCCTGCTGAACAGGTTGAATTTCAATGCATCTGTTGCCAGTTTTAGTTTTTGTAACATTTCCTGGAACTTCTGTAACATTTATACCTAAAATACCGAATTTGTGTTATGAGCGTCATCCTACAGACTGGTCACATGCAACCGAGAGACAGAGGCAGAAGACAAAAAAAGGTGCTGCTGACCCTTGCCATATCCACCAGAAAAAGAAAG